AGAGTAGGGCTGGACAGGAGCTCACGAGATCATGTGTTCCAGTTTTCTGGTCAAGGCAGGATCATCACTGACTAAACCATCCCAGTGAGATATCTGTCTACCCTGGATTTGAAAATTTCCAGGGATAGAGATTCCATGACTTCTCTACTTAGCCTGTTCCAATTCTTAACCACTTTCATAGTCAGAAATTCTCCCTAATCTCCAACCTAAATTCCCCCTCCTGCAGTTTGAGGCCACTCCTCCTAGTTCTGTCCCCTACAGCCCCAGAGAAAAGGCTATCTTCATCTTCTTTGTAATTGCCCTTCAGATATTTGAAGACTGTTGTCAAATCCCCCCTCAGTTTTCTCATCTCCAGACTTAAGCAATCCTAGTTCTTTCCTCCTTTCCTCATAAATCATATTTCCCAGGCCTTTGATAGTTTTATTACTCTCTGCTGTACTCTTTCCCTTACTCTCCCCTGTTTTAATTGGCCCTTGAGTTGGTGGCAGCAACTTTAATTTTCACTGAATTCAGTGAATGCTACCACAAGGACGTCCTGGCTATGCTCCAAACTTGTGCTCCAAATATTTGGGTTGTAGAAATCCATAGCCAACTTTTTGCTGTTTGCAACTGGTATGGTGCTGGCAGAAGCCCACCAAGTCCTGGAGAAAACAAAGCCCTTAATCTGACCTAGGTATCATGCATTGTGGTAAAGCCTCAGGAATACCAGCAGCCCCGGGAAGTGACTGGGAATGGTGTGAATTTCAGAGATTGCTGGCGGAGTTCCCAGATAAGGAGTTCCAGTTGCACCTTGTTGAAACTCATGGCCAGATGGTAATGGAGAATTCTTCCTCAGAAGAGGCAGCAGATATCCAGACTGAACTGAACAAGGTGAAGGAATCTTTGAGGGAAGTCAAAGAAAGGATAACAAGGTAAGTCTTTGTCAGTCCCTTTAAGGAGATTCTCTTTGCTGCCAGATAGCAGCTCAGCTTGATATTTCAACAAACTCTAAGCCTAAAGAAGTACTGAAAAGTTCATGACCACATGGTCACATTAGAAAGACCCATGCACATTTGAGTGGTATTTCTTAAATTAGAAAATCTGATTGTGAAACCACAAAGTCAGGTAGGTGAATCCAGATGCAGGAATAGTACCTGAAATGAGCTTTAGCTGCAATTCCAATTTGACAGTTTCCCTTTATGAGCCTGGCGCACTGTTAAACAGGAAGGAAGTGATAGGGGGGAAGGTAACAGCGTTTAGCTGACTCCCATTGCTGTACCTTAACTAAAAACTGTCCTGCCCCCTTCTAAGTACATATGCAAGGAGCCACCGGTGGATGTATACCTAAATGCTCTGAAGACTTCCAGCATTGAACAGAGCTAATATCCTTTCTGTGCCAGTATTTTTATATCAACCTCAGCTATATTATCTTCAGTTTTAGCATCCCTGCTAGTTGCTACTGAACTTTTAATACAGCATGCACAGATATGTATATACACATAAATATCCATTAACAACTCATATAGTGTGCAACAGCATTTCTGTTATGAGGGCTGCTGGTGATGCTCTGGGGATCCTTAGCTACCAAAAGAGCCTCTTGGAACTGTAGGCACCAGGCATGTCACTGGCAAGGTGAAGACTCAAAAGAAATTCAGGCTTGTGTCCCAAGCTTACCTTGCTCCCAGGGGAGCAACAGTGGTTTGAAGCACTGTAGAGGATGCAAAGAGAGTAGATCAAAAGACAAGCAGTTGTATTAAAGCCCATTATTCATGTACTAACTGTCATCTTTCAGCAGCTTTTCTATGTATCAGTTGTCAGGTGTCATTGCATTGACTTCTCACATTTGTATTTTCAAGCCTTCTCCAAAAGCTGCAACCAAAAAGAACAGCGGTTGATACAGGGAAGAAAATAATCATCATGCAGCCAATGCCTACATTTGGCTTCCATTCATTTGATGTAGATCCCAAATACAAGCAGGTGAGAGAGAGACTTTGAATCAGTTTCCACAGCAGCTTCATACAAACAGATTCACACTGGCTGTATTTAATATCAAATGTCTGATGTTCTACAAAAGCCAGCTTGCTTTTAGCTGATTGAGACCAGAATCCTGCTAGCGGGTTTAGGAGTCTGTCTGACATGTTCTTTTTTCAAAATGTGGTTGGTGCATAGGTATCGCTGTATGACTCCCATATGTGTCAGTGGAAGTCCCTAAACTGAGCTCCAATGTCCTGCTTTAGATGTGTTATAATAGACACTCTTGTATTCCACTGCTGTAATACTTGCTGTTTAGCCTTGACAATGTTTTAGAAGAAAACAGTGTAAATAAGCATAATGCCACATGCTCGGGGTGGAGGGGGATGTTTTTTTTTAATTAGAGCAGTTCCCAGACAGCCACTCTAATTAAAATAGTTCACCGCCATGTGTATTAAGCCCCCACATGTTTTAAAATGACAGGTCATCCAACGAGGTTTAGTTAGAGCACCCCCGCAGCCAATTTAAAATGCATGGGGGCTTAATACACATGACAGTGAGGTGACACTGGAGCATTCTGTTTAGATCATGGAGCAGACTTGATAAATCGAGTCTGCCCTGACGAACGAGCACATGTATAGGCAGCAGGGTTGCCAACCCTCCAGGATGCCCCTGGAGTCTCCAGGGATTAGATACAAATCACCAGGAGACTACTGAGAGTCACCCAAGAGATAAATGATAGGGCATTCATTAAAATAAATATTAAATGTTGAATCTGATTTATACAGTAGTCCAGCGGGTTTTGAAAATGTAATTATGTGCATTTACCTTCCTGATGTAAAGTCATTAATGTCATTACATCATGTGATGAAACCTGGAATATATTCAAACAGAGTTGGCAACCCTAATAGGCAACCAATGATGCTAGCTTACCCAGACTGAGGAGCCTGGCCCTCCCCCTCCTCCTTGTGATGTTTCAGCAGAAGCCTGCTGGATGGATGGCTCCTTCGGTTCCTTTTCCTGTCCTTCTGTTCTTATGCATGAATCAGTTCAACTGAAATCATAGGGATTTTGTCTGCACAGGGAATCCATGGGTAGGCCCTAAAATGTCTTAACTGCAAGCCTGTGGGACTTACTGTGGTGAAAGTTGAAGGCACACAGCATCTAACAGGAAGTAATTACATCTTGCAGAATTGTCCTAGAAGAGAGGAGATGGGAGACACCAGACTCAGGCCCTGATAATGTACTATTGAAACCAATGGGAATTTCAAAATTAACTTTAACAGGAGCATGATCATACTCTTAGTGACAGAGGGCAGCAGTAAAAACATGCGCTTCTTTTACACATTTATTTTGTTGTTTTCTGCTCTGTACCCAGGAGAAGATGAGCAAAGCGGGAAAGAATAGCAACCATCTTAAACTCATGAAGGACTTTGAGCAGTGGTTAGAAGTAGAAAATGCCAAGCTAACCAAAAATCTTGCTACAAAATCCTCCTCTGTTGATGAAGTTGAAGCAAAATACAAGAAGCTGGAGGTTTGTTTTCAGACATGAGTTTGCGGCGCGTGCGGAAATTATGCTGAAGGTGCAGCAGGACAGTTGATTTCATGTTTTAAAAGATTGGGAAGGCTCATTTAGGGTATTTACAGTCCCACCTCCCCTCCTTCCTTCCCCTCTCCTCATCCCCACCCCAACTACTGTAAAACCTATGGGAGGGAGGAACAGATCCCTGGCATTTATGACCGATATTAAACTCCTGGAAGGAAGGTCTATAAAAGCCACAACTCTGTCAAGTGGCAGGTGACACTTTCCAGTGTTACAAGCAGTGTTGTATGGCAGAGATATTAATCATAATATTGTGGCTAAAATATGATTTAATTATTTACCTTCAGTGCTCTAACTTCAGATAAATACAGTCAAATCCCTCAGTGATGAAACCATAGCAGTAATAAACCTAGCTAATGAATAAAAGTCCTGCTCTAGAGAGACCCTGCAGATGACCAGTCTATCCTAGATGGATGTTTGAGAGCAAAATTTAAATAAAATGATAACTGTAAACCCAGTGTTCATAACAGATTAATGTAATGCTAATGTGCTCCTACATGAATAAGTCTCTGGGATGAGTAAGGCAATGATTCATTTGAATGCAGGGTTGTTGATTAACTTTTCTTTCCCTGCAGGAGCTTCAGTCTCGTGTTCCTGAAGGTCAGCATCTTTTTGAAGATCTTCTTCATCTTCATCCAGTTGTTGGGAACTCTGAAGACCTGGAGGACCTGCGCTACCAATGGATGCTGTACAAGTCTAAGCTCAAAGAAAGCCTTGATTCATTAGTAAGTGACTGGGCACGAAAATTCATAACATTAAATACATTGTAAACCTTTTCCATGATTTCCATAAGTAACTGCAGGGTGCTGAGTGGTCTGGTCTCAATCCAACTAAATACACAAGCTTCCCATAAACTTGAGGTGTAGAAGAACTGCTGAAATGCATGTGCATACACAACAGATGAGCAATGTATGTCAGTTGCCTAAGTAAAGTTTTGGCCCAAGAGTCAAAATATCTCAAATATGCCTATAGCTGGTGAGTGTGTGCATGTGTATGCAACTCTACCTTGTTCACATGAGGAAATTCAACTCTGAGGCTTCCTTGCCTTCCTCAGCAGCCCGTTGCTGTATACAGAGAATATTCCATACACAGCTACCAAAACAAGATTATATCCACACAGATTCCATTTGGTATAACTCTCCTGTGCTATGGTGCAAGTCAGAACTATCATTATAGCCAAGAGCTGACTTGTCTGCTGCAGAAAGTAACTCTAAAAGAAACCAGTCTCCTGCACTTCCTTTATAATGGGGTATTTATAAAATGTATCATATTTATAATCTTCCTTCCTTTCCTGCTGGGGTTGCATCTGACTGAGGCCAGGGGGAAGGTGGGTACTTTGCAGTGGGAGACCCCAAAGTTGGATTTGGGTAAAAAGGTGATATTTTAGGATATCAGTCATAATGGATTTTCATGAAAGAACCAAAAAATAGCTTTATATAAGAATGTTATATATAAGAGCATTCTACAGAAGGTAGAGTTTATCCATTATACAGTTTAAAGGATGATATATTTTCACTTAGTTTAAGATACATTTATGTAGATTTTCTAAACTGACAAGTGATTTTGGTCAGGCAACTCTAAAATACCTTAAGGAAATATAGTTTTCAGAATGTTAGTATTTGGCACTTTCTGCAGACAGTTCTTTAAGGGGTCTTAACTTCATCATCTAAATATCAGGGCACCTAAATCCTTTGGCATTTTAGAAAATCTTTACCTTAAGGTGTAGAACAAAATCTTTATTCTTACCTCTAAAAAGCTGATGAGAGTCGGTTTTAAACTGAAAAGCTTTTTTAGATAACAAACCCTTTGATTTGCAGAGATGGAGTATGGGCTCTGTTAATCAGATAATACTGTAGAGATACTAATAAAAACAGAGTTGTAGTGTGGGCTGATTTTGTCCAAGTAGGTTGTGTAAACATACCTTTAGTCAATAGGTGTCAGTAAAATCAAAGCTATTTCTGAGGAGGCATTGCATCTGACGCACATTGTCAGGAAACCAAATCCATTTGGGCTTTATTTCTGATGTGTGTTAAAAAGCTCATTAAACAGAAATCACCTGCTGTTTCAGTCTGTCCAGATGACCAGAAAATTTAAAGAAACATTCCCCTGTGAAATGAATATTCAGTTATAGGCTCCAGTGGGATCTCAAGTTTATTCTTTTTTTTTTTTTTCAGCAGACTGCTGTATCTTTGGAAGAACCAGATGGATTCAGAAAGGTACAATGTTTTCCTATCATTAATCTAAAAATGTTATATCAGAAGTTTCACAGGTAATTACTTTTAAATCAGATTGCTTTTAAGGTTCATGAAAACATTTAAAACAATGCATGAGGAAAAATGCCTGTAAAATACCTTAATAATGAAGTTGATCTTCTACCAATTCAAAAAGTAAGTTGTCTTTTTTAGGAAGATAGAGTGCCTATGCACATGCTTACGGGTGGGGATATTTTAATTAGAGTGGTTCCTAGAGAGCCACTCTAATTAAAACGCCACAGCCTCATATATATTAAGCCCCTGCATGTTTAAAAATGGCCAGGGAACACTTTAACTAAAGCTGATTTGAGAAGTTTTAGTTAAAGCACTCCAGTGGCTATTTTTAAACCCACAGGGGTTTATACACATGATACTGCAGCAATGCTAGAGCGTTCTACTTAGAACATGGATAAAACTTGATTAATCAAGTCTGCTAACATGTGTTGGAGTATGTGTATAGCCACCCATAAATTCCTCTTGCTCTCAAGGAATCAGAACTCATGGTAGAGGTGATATCTTTTATTAGACCAACTAGATTCTTGCAAAAAAATATATTTATTTGCAACCTTTTGGACACAAGCACCCTTCTCCAGGCACAGGAGAAAAGACTGTAAAACTTCTAGGCAGAAATAAAGTTCATATTTCGTAAGAGAGTTGAAGGTGTGTTTACCCTACAATCACAGAAGTATAGGAGCTAGATGTCCAGCACCCATTAGACATGGGGAAATTTTTTTAAGTACCTAAGTGATTTGAGAGTCGTAGTTCAAGAGGACCTTGCACACCTAAAATCCTAGTCTTACTGAAAGCCAATGGGACTAAGTCTCCAAAATCTCTTAAGCTACCTTTGAAAATGGGACTTCAGCTCCTAGCTTATTTGGGTGTTCTTGAAACTTTTAGTTGCGATCATCCAGTATATCTCCCTTCTGGTGTAGGATTTTAGATAAATTAAGGTAATTTGCTTAACATTATCAAAATAAGGCCTGATCCTGCACAGCATTCTGTGAAGAAATTTCTTTGGAACCAGTAATGGAAAAAGTCAAAATAACAAAGAAAAGGGATTACAACAAGGCACAGGCTTACAGAAAAGAAAACATTAATCAGAAGTTGGTATATTTAAGGAGAATTTCTTCTCTTGGGGCTTGAACCTGCTTCCATTAAAGTCAATGAGTCTTTGATCATCATGGTATTGAATCTTTATCTCTACCAGTGCTCATTATAAATAATGTTGGCTTCTTCTTCCCATTTATTTTATATCTCCTCAGTTATTGGAAGGTACAGAATGAAGCTTTATTTATGCAACTGTAACAGAGGCTGGCCCCAGTGGTGGCTGTGTTGCCCCCAGTTGGCTACTCAACCCATTTCATCCTGACTTTTAAGCCCCCTCCCCTTCTGCTCGCCTGCCGTGCCTTGATGTTAACATTTATTTAGAACTGGGAGGCTTCCCCAGGGATTCCTGAGCGACATCTCATCCACTTAGGAGCCATAGTCTACCTGCTCAATGCCTTAAGGACAATTTCATGGCCTCCTCATTTCCCCTTTTAGTCATGCAATGCCTCACATATGTTACCAATCAATCAGTTATCATCAGTCAGTTATGTGGGCCTTCGGCACTATTCTCAATCAATCTAATGGGCCATCAGCCTCAGTCCCACATCATTCTCTCAGCTCCTCCTTAGGCCCTGGGCTCTCTAGCTCCATCCATCTCAGCCCCTCCTTGGGCTGGACTCTCCAGCTCCTTCTTTGCCCCACTCTGGATACTAGAATCTCTAGCCCCATCCTTTTCAGCCCCTCCCTGGGCCCTGGGTGCTCTAGCCCCTTCCCTGCTTCTCTCTGGGTCCTGGGCTGTCTAGTTCCTTCCCTGCCCTGCTAGGCCTCTGACCCTGCTTCTGGGACTGTTGAGACTTTCTCCTGCCAATAATACCCCCTAACTATCAATTTCTGGGGCATCTACCTCCCTTTACTCCCACCCTAAACCACTGCTGTTAACCTAGCCCAAAGGCTGTATTACCCTCAGGCATTCTTGGTTTCCATCAGGAGTCTCCCTCTCGAGCCTGTTCAGGAGCTCTTCTCACATCATTCTCCAGGGCCAGACTGCCTGCCCAGCTTAGGAGCTGGACTTTTATACACCCTAAGCCAAGTCCCTTGCTGATCAGGTGACTCCCCTGATTGCTGCCTGAGTTTTCTCAGCATCCTTTCCTCCTCTTAAAGTAAGAGGCAGCCTAAGCACCCTGTTACAGCAATGCAAAGGGGAATGAATGAATTAATTGTGTGAGTATATTACCACATTATCCTGTCCCAGTGGTGCTCAATCTTCTAGCTCACAGGCTGGATTCATGGTGCAGGGCCAGTCCATGAGCCAGATCTGGCACTTCCGGTTAATTCACAGGTCCAGAATTCTTCCTCTTGGGCAAGGCTTCCCAATACAGCCTAGATATTCCTCAGATGTTCAAAAGATGGAGGAATGCTGTATTTCCCCAGGGGACACAGTATTACACTGTTAACTTCTCAACAACTTCTGGCCAATCTTTAGCCTTTCTGACAACACCCAAGCTGATTCCTTGTTGCATGTGTAGCTTAATGTCAGGCACTTAAGGAAGTACTGCAGTGAATCATGGCACTCCCACTCCACACACATAATTCACAGATGTAATGTAGCAGTCTTTGAGGCGCTCTTAGGAGGACAGAAAATAAGTTTTCTGTCTTCAGCGTACTTATTGACCCAGCACTGCCCTACCGTGACTACATTTCAGGATCTAGTGCACATGGACTGGGCACGGTGTTTCTCTGCAGCACGCCCTAGTGGTGATGTAGAGCTGCTTTGGGTGTCATTAGCTGTGTATCCAAATCCCTGGAATTCCTTTCCCAAGTGCCCAATCAGCCTAAGGAAATAATACAGTGGTTTAATTCTTGATGTAGAGCAGTGATGCTCAACCTTTTTGTCAGGCAGGCTGGATGGGCAGTGTCTGCTCCATCCTCAGGCCAGGATGGATGCCTGCTCCATCCTGATGGTCCTGACCTTGTGCCTGGGGAGCATGGAGAGACCTTCTCCTGCCACTCCGGCCATGAGGAGAGAGGTGGGGGGCAACCCAGCCATGCAAGAGAAGGGGGCATGGTCCTGGCCCACAGTAGGGAGGGGACATGACCCAGCCCCTATCCACCATGCAGGGGGAGGGGGTATGGCTTGGCCCCAAGCCAACTCTGTGGAGAAAAGGAGGCATGGCCTGGCTCTGACCCAGCCCCATGGGGAGGGGGTATGGCCTGTCCCTGCAGAGAGAAGGGGGTATGGGCCAGCCCCAACCCAGCCACACAGAAGGGCTGGGCTAGAGGGAAGGGAGCATGGCCCAGCTCTGACTTGCTGCATGGGTTTTGGCAATTTGACAGTGGGGATTGGGTGGCAGCGTTGATTGCCATTGCACCCCTGCTGCCAAATTTCCCAACTCATGGGTAGCCCAACAGAACAGATGCCAAGGCTCCACAGGTTGCATTTGGCCTATGGGCCAGTGGTTGAGCACCCCTGCTGTAAAGTCAAGTGAAACTGCTTTCCCTTCAAAATGACACTACAGGGAGAATTCAAAGAATTTACCAAGGATTTATCTTGATTAGAGTTGCCTGTAGCAGAAAAAGCATAAAGCTCTCTTGCATTTCCATTGAGTACTGAGATTCCATCCCTGAAATCAGCACTTCTCCTAATGTTGACTGGTACCCAGTCTCTCTCTTCTCCTCTGAGGAAGGTTGAGATGCACTGGTAAGTTCTGAGAAGGCCTACATAAATATAGACAGATGAGAAAAATTGCCAGTGAGAGTTATAAAAGGCAAATCATCCCCACTGTGAACTCCAAAACCCTTCTTTGACTTCTGAATAGCTACCCAGTGCAAAAGAAGAGAAAGAAATACCTTAAAACCCAAATACTCCAAGTCTGTTACCTACAAAAACATTGGCAGGTGACTTTGGGTCCCTAATAATTAACAAAAGCTAATAAATAAAACATTTCCGTCATTTACCCCGATTTAAACCAATGTGATTCCACTGACCTCAGTGTAGTTCTCTCAAATTAAAACTGAAAGTGGAATCTGATCCACTAAGAAGAAGGGTGTATGTGTGTGTGCTTGCATGTGTGTGTTTGTGTAATGATATTTAATTCAGACAGTTTTTATTGTTATTTAATCATCCACACATTATAGCATAGGACCTGGTTTATGGGACATAGAGTGTGACATTAAGTAGTCTAGTCACACCACTACCCAACCAGAGAGAAAGGTACAACATAAACAAACTGCATAAATATGAACATGCAAGTAAGAGTTTTCAACTTATAGGGTTTTTTTTAACTCAGATAGACTGAGCTTAGGTGTTGCAAGGAATAGAATTAGGGATTTTTTAAATGTATGCATCCTGTGTTGGAAACATCCCTTCAGAACTTCAGCAAATGAAAAGTCCGTTGTGAGTCCATTTACACTACAAGCATCTGCAATAGCTGGGCACATCACTTCCTTACTTGCAAATTCACTCCCATGAGTATGGAGGCAGTAGGAGTTCAGTGGAAGCCTTTTGGGGAATAGAAACAGTGCCTGGGCCATGAGCTGGTCCTCTGCTTCCCTTGAGTAGTTTGTCAACTCTCTTGTCATGGAGAATCAGCAGAAGAGGCAGGAATCCAGGTGCTGAACTGCTCTCTCTTTTATGATGTGAAGCCTCTGGTTTCTTATCTTTCATATACTTAATTTTTAGCAGTATCAGCAGATCACTGACAGGGATTGGAGCAAGACCCAGGTACTTTCAATCTCAGTCCATATTCTTCCTCCCTGTTCCATTTTCTGTCTGCATGGGTAAATACTGGCTAAGTTACAGCCTCTTCCATTTGAATGATTAAGCTGCTCCCCATTTACTCCCATTTCCATTCTCCCTGCCCACAGAAGTCATGCTGCTAAAGAGACATGTTTCCTAGGTGAGCTGTATGGGATAGTTT